TCATCTTCAGAAAAAAAAAAAAAATTAAATAAATAAATAAAGAAAAACAAGAAAGTATAGATAGAACAAGGAAATGTGTTAGTTTAGTTACATGACAAAAAACATAAACTACATTAATATATGATTTGTTACAAGAATCTCAGCCTTTCGCATTCTCACTTGCGACATTTTGATGAATTCGTGAGCCTTGGTAAGCATCAAACCATACTCTTGTCGAAGATTTGTTTCGATTATTGCTTGGACAGACAAAACAGCATCCCACAACTGACTACCATTATATCCCTGATTATCCAAACTAACATCATAAAACTGAGTGGCCAAGTAAAAACGAGATAATTTATCTGCGTAAATCGTTACTTACCTGCATTTTCATTCCATCCTCAGCCACCCACAAATAGTCTTTAACTCTTGCGAAATGGCTCTTGACGGCCGTTGAATTCGGGTCGTCCACCCAACAGCAAAGCATATTTAAAACCTGTTTTATCACGTTAATAATAAACACTCGAGTTCGAATAATTAAGACATACATAAAGTCAAAAAAGGAGTTCATAAAGAGCTATATACCTTATTTATAGGTCCAATGCAGAGGTAATTAGTGTTTACATCTTCGTAACGAATATGCTTCATAACGGTGCTCAGTGCTCTCTGCCTTAGCTTAGAAAACGGCCATTTCACGAGAAGAGGTTCGGCAAACTCTTGCAAACACTTCCATAGGATGTCTTGTAAAAGTGGGTGTGGATAATATAAATCCTCCTGAATGAACTTGCAATTTTCGGCTGTCTACGAAGCTGAAGAAAAATTGGGCAGGACAAGAATATACTTTAACAGAGTTTATATAAGTTTTATTATTATACCTTGGCACATTGGTTTCTGGCCAAATCCCAGTCAATTTGATGGTAGGCTTGAATATAGAGCTCTTTCCTAAGAGATAGAATAGTTTGGTTAATTGGGCCCACGAATCTCTTCCCGTATAAATACGACATCGGCAAATATACCATTCGGCAGTGACACCACATTCGCCCTACATCCATATTGCATGCGATTTCATGTGGAAGAAAATAAATAAATAAATAAACAAACAAAAGACAAAGAAACAAAGAGCACACGTAGAATTTGACTTCGAATCAGAACCTAAGACAAAACAAAAAAACTGCTGTCAGCTTAAAATTGTAATGTACAATTCAAATATATTCGAAGCAACTTAACAAAACCGAACATCGACAGATTAAGTAGAAACCTGGATGAATAGGAAGAAAGTAAGGGAGAAGCCATAGCTCGGGTGGCAGAGGATTATTTCCATTCCACTCGTACGCGCCAAGAACCTAGTCAAATGCTTATGGTTTGAAAAAAAAAGGAAAAACACGAAAGAACGAAAAAGTGTGTTCTATGACGATCAGTTTTTACCGAGAGCCAGCATTTTCCCCAAGAAGGAATACAGGTGGCACCACCATGATCGAGGATCCACTTTCGTGCTCTCTGCATGGATCGATCTCCACCGTCGATTTTTTCCCCTAAAAGCCTTAACGCGACATAATTAAGGGCCGTGCAGAACATGGTGCTGTGCCCTTCTATATGCAATCCCCACCCTCCATCAAGATTCTATTAAATATGTTATTATTACTTATTAGTATATGAATAGAAAGAACTTTTTAGTTTTTAGAAGTAGCCGTTTTTATTTTTTATTTTTTTCTTTTGAAATGCCGTCAAAAGACGTGGATCGACTTATTACCTGATGGTTATACAAATAACGGCACATCTCTTTCTTGTGTTCGTCCGGGAGAATGGCATCCACAGCATCCATTACAGACAAAGCTATAACCTGCAAGTTTGAAACTCTTCAAAAAAAAGAAAAAACAAAAAGTTGTAGTTTTTTAAAATAAACAAGCGGGTCTTTTTTGCATTATGAAAAAAGTTTTTGGGGTGGTTTTGTAATAAAAAAACTCAGTTTTTTCTCACCAGGCCTGGCAAAAGAAACAAAGGGCCACCATAGTCACCTGGCCAGTGCCCATCTTCAGCTTGAAGAGTTGAGTAAAATCTGAGGGCTCTTGTTAATGTGATGCCCACTTTCTCGTCACTCGTAATTTCTTCTTCAGTCCCTACTTTCACTTGCAATGGCAATTCCACCCCACAAGAATTCTCCTTTGCTGCAAACTACAGGGGATATGAAAGTTGTAGCATTTTTTTTTTTTATTTTTTCTTATTAAAAAAAAAAAGGCTATTAGTTGAATTAGCCAAAAATACAGTTTTTGTAAACGCACACAACTTGAATTCTCATCAGGAGATCCGAACTGTGCTTCGTCTCATGACGATTTTGTCTGAATTCATTACGAGCTTTTTCGACCAAAGCTCGTTCTTCAACTGTCCACGATGTTTGGTCGAATTCCCAAAACTGTCTCCCAATATGGCCATTAAAGCTCGTTAGCCACGACTCGTCATCATCTTCACCTTTACAAAATCTCAGTCTCCACATTATATTATATTATATTCACCTCAAAATGTTAACTCGTTTTTTTTTTCGTAAGCTTCACAAGTCGTGCACTCAAACTCATATATAATTGTTCGGACACTACTAATAATGTCATAAAAATGTATTGTATATTCATTAAGACATCTCAGTTTGTATAGCTCAATTTACTAACTTAATTATGATTAAGACACAGCAAATATTTATATAGCTCAATTTGGACAAGTGCATTTGTGTGGAGTGTGGACCACTATATGTACATTTCAATATACATTTGTCCTAATATCACAAGAAAGCTCCATATAATCTGTACGAAAACATCATATTAGGTTATCAATAAATCAAATATGTGTCCCACTGTTATGTTTATTGTGAAATATACAATTTATTTGATTATAAATACGATAATGAGTGTAAAGTCAATTTGGTTTTCATTTTTTCATCGTGTCGTGTTAGTAATAGTTCTCTATTTCATGTCGTGTTATCGTGTTGTGTCAGACTGTCAGTAATTGTCACCCCAATTCTGACCGATATATGGAGAATCAAAAGCAAAAGTTACCGTAAACGTTCAAATTTCTTGGTGTTTTTTTTTTTTTTTTTTAATCTGCATAAGTAGTTAAACAAGGTCAAGAACAAAATTCACATTGAGAAAACAAAAGCTATAAGAATCAAGCATTTCACTCAAAACATTCAAATCCGACAAGCAAACTTCACTGCACATCGGACATCGATCTCTCGATCTTCGAAGCCTCTAAAGAAGGCTCGTAAAGTTCATACTCCTTTGGAAGCTCGCTTTTGCTCCTTCCATTCCCCTGTTTATTATTATTACTTGTATTCGGGCTTTTTGAGACCTCGTAAAGTGTCACTCACGAACCTCCCTTATGTGGGCCCAAGTCTTCCAACCACAGCTTGTGGGCCACCAAGGGCTCGAGTATCTCGATGACTTGGCTCATGTTGGGCCTTCTTTTCGGGTTCTGGCTGAGCCATTGGTAGGCTAAATTCGTCAATTTCATGAGGATTTTTGTCGAGTATTGGCCCTCGATTCTTGGGTCGAGTATTCTGAGAAGCTTCTTGGTGTGGTTGAGGAGCGGCCGGGCCCACTCGACGAGCATCTCGAGCAAGACGACCCCAAAGCCATAAACGTCACTTCTTGCCG